GTGTAAGAGATGGAGGAGGTTACAGTGATAGGGAGGGGTGTAAGAGATGGAGGAGGTTACAGTGATAGGGAGGGGTGTAGGGGCTGGAGGAGGTTACAGAGATAGGGAGGGGGTGTAGGGGCTGGAGGAGGTTACAGAGATATGGAGGAGGTGTAGGGGGAGGAGGTAGCAGAGATAAGGAGGGTGTGTAGGGGCTGGAGGAAGTAACAGAGATAGGGAGGGGGTGTAGGGGCTGGAGGAGGTTACAGAGATAGGGAGGGGGTGTAGGGGCTGGCGGAGATTACAGAGATAGGGAGTGGGTATAGGGTCTGGAGGAAGTTACAGAGATAGGGAAGGGTGTAGGGGCTGGAGGAGGTTACAGAGATAGGGAAGGGTGTAGGAATTGCCTCAATGGGAACTGAGGCCAGCACAGCCTCTCCAACAGAAATCCCTGCCTCAGCTGGAACTCTGACCAACCCCCTGCTTCCTGCGTCAGGCGGTAGGAGTATTAACAATGAAGGCAATTCCGATCAGTCTTCATCTGGGTGTGAGTGTGGACAAATCAAATTCAGAAAGATTGGAGCCCATAGTCATTCTGTTCTAGGTCCCATAGAGTGATGAGAGGGGACTTAGTGCCAAGGTGTATTTAGTTCATGCTGTGCTTAGATCACTCTGTAACTGGCTCAACTCCATTATCCTATTCTGTATAGACTAAGAGAGATCTCCAGCACAGAACAAGGCCCTTGGGCCCATTGTGTCCACACCATTCAAAAACAGCCACCTAACTACTCTAATCCCATTTTCCAACACTCGACCCATAGTCTTGGGTGGCATTGGAAGTTTACATCTAAATCCTTCAATGTGATGGGGGTTTCTGCCTCTCCCAACCTGACAGTCAATGAGTTCCAGATTCCGACCACCCTCTGGGTGGAAAAGTTCGTTCTCACATCCTCTCTAAACCTTCTGCCCCTCACCTTAAATCCATTCCCCCTGCTCATTGATCCCTCTGTCAAGGGGAAAAAATTCTTCCTGTCTCCCTTAAATATGCCCCTCATAATTTTATACATCTCAATCACGTCCCCTTCTCAATCTCCTCTGCTCTAAGGAAAACAGCCACAGTCTCTCCAATCTCTCTCCAGTACCCAAGGTGACATCCTGGTAAATCTCCCACTGCACCCTCTCCTGGTGCTATCACATCCCTCCTAGAATGTGGATTCCAGAAATGCACACAACCCCCCACTGTGGCCTAATGTTTTAGATCGCTCTAGCATTACCTCCCTGCTCTTAAACTCTATGCCTCGGCTAATAAAGACAAGTATCCCACAATGCCTTCTCAACAACCCTATCCACTTGTCCTGATACCTTAAGGGTATCTGATCCTCGGTGCTTCCCAGGGTCCTACTGCTCATCATGTATTCCCTCGCCTTTTTTTCTGTCCTGCCTCAGTGCATCACTCACACTTGAATTGATTGAATTTCATTTGTCACTGAACAGCCCACCTGACCAACCTGTGCATTTCCAATTTTTATATCATAGAATCATCAAATTTCACAGCACAGATGGAGGCCATGTCTGTATGGGCTCCTGAAAAAGCTATACAGCTCATCCCGTTCTCCAGCCCTATCTCCATATCCTTCCAAATTCATCACTTTCAAATATACATCCAGCTCTTTTCTGATACCTCGTACGGGATCCACCTCCAGCACTCTCCCAGACAGCACATTCCAAATCCTAACAGCTCCCTGAGTAAAAAACTTTCTCCTCGTCTCATTCCTAGCTCTTTCACAATTTTGAAATTGTGACTCCCACTTACTGACAAACCAATTAATGGAAACTAAATATCCTTCTTTTACCCTGTCAAATTAGAAATCATACAACACCAGGTTATAGTCCAACAGGTTTATTTGAAAACACAAGATTTCGGAGTTTTACTCCTCCTTCAGGTGTTAGTGAGAGAGGTAGTATCAGACACAGAATTTATAAGTAAAAGATCAAAGGCTCACACCATCAGTGTAAAGAGGTGACATCTTAGGTCAGACAATGCATGTTAGGTGTGAGATCTTGTTTAGAATCTGTTTGTGTTTTAGTTTGGAGTCAGACTAGTTTTATTTCTAAAGTAGGAATGTATAAAACATTATATTGACTCACTGTCTATAAATTATGTGCTTGTTGAACAAAATAGAATGTATCTGCAAACATAAATTCACCCCATAGATTTGTATGTGTGTGTGAGGGTAAGGGGGAGAGAGAGTGTGTGTGAATGAGGGGAGTTAGAGAGAGTGTGTATGAATGAGGGGAGTTAGAGAGAGTGTGCGCGAGTGAGGGGAGTTAGAGAGAGTGTGCGCGAGTGAGGGGTGGGAGAGTGTGTGCGAGTGAGGGGTGGGAGAGAGTGTGTGCGAGTGAGGGGTGGGAGAGAGTGTGCACGAGTGATGGGGGGAGAGAGAGTGTGCGCGATTAAAGATTTAACAGCATCTCAGATTTGTTTAGTACATCCTCATCAGTGGTGTGACCCTTTGATCTTTTACTTATAAATTCTGTGCTTGATATATCTCTCTCACGAACACCTGAAGAAGGACTGAGGCTCTGAAAGCTTGTGTTTTCAAATAAACCTGTTGGGCTATGACCTGGCGTTGTGTGATTTCTGACCTTGTCCACCCCAGACCAACACCAGGACCTCCAAATCATGCCTGTCAAAATTGTTCATCATTTTGGATACCTCAATAAGGTCACCTCTTAATCTTCTCTGCTCCAAGGAGAATAAGTCCCATTTCTCAAATCTTTCCTTGGGTTTAAAATCCCTCATTCCTGGTATCATTCTAGTAAATCTCCTTTAGTCTCTTGCCAGGGCTTTAACATCTGTCTTAAATCAGGTGCCCAGATCTGAATACAATGCTTCAAATGTGATCTGACCAATCTTGACCAATCATCCATGAGTTTACTGATCAACAATTCAACATTCAAATCTAAATTATTTATATAAACTGCAAACAGCAAAGGCCCCATGACTGACCCCTGTGGGACCCCATTGCATGCAGACTTTAAGTCAGGAAAACATCTTTGCTTCTGGCTGTTTAGCCAATTGTGGATCCCATTTGCCAAATTCCCTTGGAATTGATGCAATGTTATCTTTTCTATCAGTCTCCCAAGCGGGACCTTTCTTAATCTCTGTGTCACTGTTATGGACCAGACCAAAACCCTCAAAACATGTCAAGGCAATAGCCTAGACCCTAACTTTTTCTCATTTTAAAGGCAGGTGCCAGGTGTTGCATTCCTGATTTAATTCCATTGGTCGAACTGTCAGGTTTGAAGCAAAACAAACTTTATTCATACACTATGGTTAAAGAAAGGATTGGAATAACTTCAC